TGAACTGTAAAGCGAAGGTTATAGTTTAGTGGTGCTTTGACGAATCAACCTGAGTAAGACACATGGTTAGGCCAAGAATTCCTTGAGTCAACCATACCTCCTAAGGAAAAAGACATACCTTCTAATGAAAAATTCATCGGTTCCACTTGACTGTGACCTTATGCTAGCGCGCAAACCTCTCCCGTTGTTACCGTATTTTTTAGAAATGTCTTAGGCCTAGGCCGAACGGAAAACGTCAAACTTTCCATGAGACGAACCAAACTCTAATTTGAGCTAATTTGGGTCGACCTAAATTAAGTTAAGAACGTCTGTTGGGTCGAACTTAGGACCCGTTTAACCAATCAACTGAATCAGACAAACAAGCAATTTTAGCCAAACAAGACACAATATAACCCGTCTGAAGCAGACGGATAGAACGTGTTGGACGATCCAAACTCATTAAGACGAACTTAATCAGACGTCGACCTTTTCAAGAACTTAACTCACTAACGCTGGTTCCTCTCATGAAAAGTTCAACGCTTGGCCTAGGCCTTAGTCGTGTCCAAGGCTGCATTGGTTTCCAAAGATGCCCGACATGGACTCGAAAAAGGCTATGTTTGTGAGCTCAACACTACCCGCAACAGAATGTATTAGTTGCTTGTAAGCGCACTAATTTGCGACATGAACGTATAATTATAGAGCCTTAACTTTTTTGTCAAAAGAATTTTGCGCAATTTATTACACCTACTTCCATTTAGCGAAGTTCGCTGCTGTACTCAACCCAAGCTGACCAAAAGTCCACTCAACGTTTGGACAGGTTACTGCCCCATGTTACGTCGGTATATTTTCCCTTGCAGAATTTCACGTCCAAGGCGGGATCGCCACTGAAAAGGAGAACACTTGAGAATTACAAGTAAAGCTTCTCTTTATATTCAGTACTATCACATGTCCATGTTTAGTGTATACTCTCTTCCCTTTTGGCAAAGGGTTTGTGCAAAGGTAGTAGGGATTGGGTAATATTAAGATCTATTAATGAAATAAATTTTTTGTGTGATATGTGCCTACAATGACCATGCCACAAGATGAACAGATGACACTTGAATTTGTAGGTCTCATTGCCTCTGTTATACTCATAACTGGACGTAACCTTGGTAACCACTTCAGAGCCCAGTCTGGGTATTTATTCTTCTTTTCCTATTTCCTATTGCGTTACCTATTTCGTTTCCTCTGTGTGGCGTTTCACAAGCTACTCTGAATAAGGAGAGGACTTTCAACTGACCCACAAACAAGAAAAGGCAGTGTGTTCGCAGCACAGGGCTTGCTTGTGAATGGAAGGCTTGTAATCAAACAAGCAAGCCGAGATTATTAGTAAAAGTTTAGCTAGTTCAGTTGTTATCTCTACGCTTATCAATGAAATGGGCTCCTCCTCCTTGTTTGTTTGCTTTCTTGCTTCCAGAAGTTTTGAGCAGAAGTTTGAGTCCGCAGAAATTTTTCAAACGGAATTCAACGAGATGAAAAAACTGACTTCTGTAAATACATCCCTTAATGAAAGATTAAAAGAACTGATGATCGAGAGAGACTTGGCATTACAGGACTCCCAAGACCTTCTTAATGGCATGCAGGTAGATTGAACCTTCCTTATGTCATTATAGATGTTTAGTATTTGAATTAATATACACTACTATGAATATTTACATATAAGATCAAAATTAAGTGAGTGTACATACAGTCACATTATGTGAATGGTTATATCTTTAGGAATGGATATTAAAACTGTTCTCCCGTTTGATCTCCTTTTTGTAATACCTTAGGTACTGAAAACTGAATGTTTGCATAAACACCAAAATATCCTTTGCATTGTGTTAAAACCAAGAGG